GATTCGGCCCAGAAATCAGGATTTTAAAAAGATTCCCAGGTGATTCTAATGTGCAGCCAAGGTTGAGAACCACTGCTCTAGATGGAGTCGTCACTTCCTCCCATTAGGAGCACAGCCAGGAAGGCGTGCTAGCAGCGCCTGTGGCTTTTGTCACGGTTGGTGATCACAGATATTTTCACATCACTTGACATCTGTGGGGATTTCTCTGAGAATTTACGCTCCTCCTGCCGTGGGGCTCAAGGGTTACTGTGGTCCAGTAAGCTTTTCCAATGTCTTGGTAACTATTTCAGTGCATTGGGTCCCATGTGTGAATCTGTCTTCTGTGCTGCATTTTTATTTTATTTTTATTATTATTTTAAATATATTTTTATTGATTTCACAGAGGGGGGGATAGAAACATCAGTGATGACAGAATCATTGATCGGCTGCCTCCTGCACGCCCCACACTGGGGGTCAAGCCCACGACCCAGGCATGTGCCCTTGATTGGAATCGAACCCGGGACCCTTCAGTCCACAGGCCGACGCTCTATCCACTGAGCCAAACCCAGCCAGGGCTGCATTTTTAAATGTTATTCTGAGAAGGGACACTAGACTTCACCAGACAGCGAGAGAGGAACCCGCCTGGTTGAGTACAGACAGGAGCCCTCAGTGAGCCGGTGAGCTGGGCAAGCCCTGTGAGGCGGGGCCGCTCTGCCTGGAGGATGGCTCCATGGGTGACCTTGATTGTGAAGGTGTCTTTGCTATTAAAAGTAAGTGTGGTCGTTCCTAATTGTAATGAGGGAGTGGAGTTTTAATTCCAAATGTCAAGTTGGTCCTCTAGGCTGACTGGTGGGGGGGTGGGGGCAGGAAGAAAGAAGCCATTCTTCTGGCTCTTGTACTTAAAAGCCCTCTTTTGCATTTGTATGGGAGGATGTTCTGGGAGTATCAGATACCTGATACTTCAGCTGGTGTGCCCGGAGGCAGCCTGGAGGGGCTGGGCTGGGTGGAGGCTGTGATGAGCCGTTTATCTGTCCTGGAGGGTTAGGATCCACTCCACCCATTGCTCTCTGGAGTGGGCGGGCAGTGGAGTGGCCGGGCGAGGACCCTGGTTTGGGATCGGTGCTCCGTACACAAAGATTCTGCCACTTGCGAGAGCCATGCGGCTGCCGAGTGATAGCCACAGTCGTGACCTTGGTTCAGCTCACTTCCTGTCCTGTCATTCTCAGTCCTAAGGTCTGGGTGAGGTTTTCCTTTGGTCAAAGATTCTTCCTCTTGAGGGAGATGGGGCCCCAGCAGGAGCCACAGCACCCAGACCAAGGTTAAAGGGCAGGATGAGGCCCTGGCCGAGCCTAGAAGATGGGGCGCAGGCACGCGTTCCAGCGTGGGGCAAAGCCACTGCGCACGGTCCTCCCCTGCGTGAACATCGCAGAGGAGGGGTAGGCAAGGTGCCACGGCTGGAGAGGCCGGCGGAGGCCACTGCAGGTGAGGCCACGGGGGCGTACGAGGTGGCCGGATGCCCGAGGACCTGTCTTGGTGAAAGTTTGAGAGCCAGAACACATGTCTACTCTGGGGTGCGTGCCATTTGTTGTCTGGTTTGGGGGACTCTCTTCCACAGCAGGGACCGCCCTCCTTCCTCTCTCCTTCCCTCCAGACTCAGGGCGTCCCACATACACCGTGAGGGCCCACTGTGAGCCTTTGCCAGATGCCAGCAAGCGGGCATGGTGCCTCTCAGGGCGCTCCCAGCCCAGTGTGGGCAGGACAGGCGTTGATCAAGTCCTCACCCACAGGGATCATTGGTGGTTTTTTGTTAATCAGTCCTCACCCGAGGATATTTTTCCCATCGATTTTTTTAGAGCGAATGGAAGGGAGGGAGGGAGGGAGAAACATCAATGTGAGAGACACATCAGTTGATTGCCTCCCACACACACCAGCTGGGGCTGGGATCGAACCTGTGACCCTCCAGTGCGCAGGCTGATACTCTAACCACCAAGACACTGGCTGAGCCGAATGGATCCTCCTTAGCTGTGGGAGGGGCCTTATGGGAACCCCAGAAAGTGCCGTTTCCCTCCATCGGACGGGGTGAGTTCTGGGCCGAGGAGTCAGCTGACGTTGCTGTAAACCAGACTGTGATGCTGAGAAGTCCTTGATGTGCCCGCCTCCACCTTCCATTTTAATCTATTAAGTCTGGAAAGAGGCCACTCACTGCCCAGCCCTAACCTTCCATTTTGATCTATTAAATCTGGAAAGAGGCCACTCACATAGTAGGCGAGGGCTCGTTGGGAGACCTTGCCACTGCTCCTCACAGCATTTCCGCTGTCCCCACACTCCATCCTAAAAGTTCCCTATGGTGTTTACTTTTAAAACTCTTAATGTTTTTATTTCATCTGCGTGACAGTCAGCTTTATGTTAGTATGCAGCAGCAGATGCTTGAGGGCTCCCTTGCTTTAGTCAGACCGTTGTGTATTTTTAAGTAACTCTTCCTACCCAGCATCGTAGGGGAAAGAACCGAGGTGTCAGACCTGCCTTTGTGGGCACCACCTCCCCTGGGATCAGTGGGGGTGCTGGTTTCCACCCGGACGCAGTTGAATTGAGTGTGCCAGGGGCCCAATAAATGCCAGTGTTTGTGCACGCTGCCGCTGCCGGTCACGGTCACCGCGCTCTGTGAAGCTGGGAGCGCCTGGCACTGTGACACTGACGGTACTAACCCAAGTGTGAGGCTTCAAGGAAGGAAAGCCTCCGGGGCCCGACTTCCCAGTTCCTGCGGCGGGAAATGGTTCTTTCCGAAGTGGTGACAAGCTGATGGTCTAGCCCAGGAGTTCTGTTGTCGGCCCTGGCGGGCTTGCTCCCCTGATCAGTCATGTGTCGTCCTCGTCCCCGCCCCCCCCATGGAAGTTAATTCATTCCATTCCCATCTCTGTGGCGGCCCCTTTTCTGACACATCCTCTCTGCCTTGCTGGTTGCCTGGGCCTGGCTCCTTGTCATTCTAACTGCAGCGGGCTCTTCAGGGGCCCTTTTGGGGCCGCACAGACCCCTCTGCGTCCGGCCTGGCTCCTGGGGCAGACCCTGCAGAGTCAGGACACGGACAGGCGTCTTGTGTGCGTGTCATTGTGCTCAGAGGTGAAAGCGTGTCACTGGGACGCAGTGGCATGTGGCTATAGAGGTACACGGGCACAGTCCTGTTCAAAATGCCACCGTTCCCACAGGGTCCCGCGTCCTGAGCGTGGGCTCGGCCGGCAGCAGCTCTCAGCTGTTGGGTAAGAGCCTGAAGAGACGTGCGGAATGTGCTGCTGCTGTTTCTCGTGCGTTGGCACCTTCCCGGGGCCGTGTGGGGGCACGGGCAAGGCTGCCTGGGTTCACAGATCAGGAAACACGGACCTGATGTGTTTCGCGCTGAGGGTTGGGCTCGAGGCTGCCTCGGGGGCCAACTAACCGTCCTTTTACCTCCTGATTCTCCTCCTTCCAGTCGCCCATGTTCGATGGCAAAGTCCCGCACTGGTACCACTTCTCCTGCTTCTGGAAGACCGGCCACTCCATCTGGCAGCCTGATGTCGAGGTGGATGGCTTCTCGGAGCTCCGGTGGGACGACCAGCAGAAAGTGAAGAAGACGGCAGAGGCCGGAGGAGTGGCAGGTCGGCACACACGGGGAGGCCGCGCCTGTGACTCCCAACCCAGAGCTTCCGGGGACCTTTCCCAGAAGCTCCGCCCTCCTTCCTCACATGTGTCCGCAGAGAACTGAGTGGCCTGCTGCTCAGCTGCACCTCAGTGACCGGCTGTGTCCTGCTGCAGGGCATTTTCTTCTTCCCGATGCTTGAACTGTGGTCTTTAAGTGGTTGTTTTAATAGACTTTTTAGAGCAGTTTTAGGTTCATAGCAAAATGAAACAAAATGTAGAGAGTCCCCGTATTCCTCCTGACCCACAGAAGCCTGGCCTCCCCATCGTCAGCGCCCTCCACTGAGGAGTCCTTTAGTTCCGACCGATGAACCGGCGTTGGTGCGGTGTTGGAGCCCAAGTCCATAGTTACGGTCGCATTCACTCATGGTGTACAGTCTGTAGACAGTGTACAATGGCATGTATTTATCCTTATAACAGAATACAGTGGGGCCTTGACTTATAAGTTTAATTCGTTCAGAGACCGAGCTCGTTAAGGAGCTCGTTAACTCAAATTACTCTGTCAACTCAATGCAAAAAATCAGCTGAGAGACCGCTGGTAATCTCAAAAAACTCTTTAGTCGGGACACTCGTAAATCAAGGCCCCACTGTATTTCTCACTGCCCTAAAGTCCTCTGCGCTTCCTCTGTTCATCTTTCCTCCCCCCTATCCTCTGGCCAACACTGATCTTCATACTGTCTCCATGGTTCGCTTTGTTCAGGATGTTCTACAGTTGGAATTTCACAGGAAGCCTTCCCAGATTGGCTTACTTCACATCAGTGTGCATTTAAGGTTCCTGCCTGCCTTTTCCGGGTGGTTGTTGTTAATCCTCACCCGAGTACGTGCTTAGAGAGAGGGAGAGAGAGACATCAGTGTGAGAGAGAAACAGGCAGGTTGCCTTCCGTATGCTCCTCAACTGGGGCCACAACCCAGGGATGTGCCCCAACTCGGAACCAAACCGACAACCTTTCAGTGCACAGGACAACACTCAACCAGCTGAGCCACTCTGGCCGGTCTCTTCATGGTTTGATAACTCATTTTTCTTTTTTTTAGCTCATTTCTTTTTATTATTTTTTTTAATTAAATCTTTATTGTTCAGATTATTACATTGGTTCCTCTTTTTTCCCCCCATAACTCCCCTCCACCCAGTTCCCACCCCACCCTCCGCCCTCACTCCCCACCCACTGTCCTCGTCCATAGGTGCACGATTATTGTCCAATCTCTTCCCGCATCCCCCACACCCCTTTCCCCCCCAAGAATAGTCCATTCCCTTTCTATGTCCCTGATTCTATTATAATCACCAGTTCATACTATTCATCAGATTATTTATTCACTTGATTTTTAGATTCACTTGTTGATAGATGTGTATTTGTTGTTCATAATTTGTATCTTTACCTTTTTCTTCTTCTTCCTCTTCTTAAAGGATACCTTTCAGCATTTCATATAATACTGGTATGGTGGTGATGAACTCCTTTAGCTTTTTCTTATCTGTGAAGCTCTTTATCTGACCTTCACTTCTGAATGATAGCTTTGCTGGATAAAGTAATCTTGGTTGTAGGTTCTTGGTATTCATCACTTTGAATATTTCTTGCCACTCCCTTCTGGCTTGCAAAGTTTCTGTTGAGAAATCAGCTGCCAGTCGTATGGGTACTCCCTTGTAGGTAACTGACTTTCTTTCTCTTGCTGTTTTTAGGATTCTCTCTTTGTCTTTTGCTCTTGGCATTTTAATTATGATGTGCCTTGGTGTGGTCCTCTTTGGATTCCTTTTGTTTGGGGTTCTCTGCACTTCCTGGACTTGGAAGTCTATTTCTTTCACCAGGTAGGGGCCTATTTCTTTGTCTCGGCATTTTTTATGCTTCACTGTGTCGATAGAGTGGCTTTCTGTGCTAAGTGTCCCTATTACCTGAGGTAGACACTCTTGGTGCACCCCCTTGTGGGCTTTGTGCACAGTCTTGTTGTAGTTAACACTTGGAGGATTTGACCTCCAGGCCAATTGGCTGTGAGAATCAGCTGTGTCTACGGTGGGAGAACTTCTGTGCTGAAGACACCCTTATGGGGCAAGACTTGCTTCAGTGGGGCTTTGTTGCTCACTGAGTCTGCCCCCTGAGTGTGTCCCTTATGGATCTGAGGAGTTGTAATTGAATGGTCCCACTCTGACCACTGGGTACACTGGCTCTTGGATCTAAGAGGTGCTAATCTAGCCTCTGCCTGAGGCTACCCAGCAGAAGCCAGCTGTAAAGCAATGCAAGTTGCCCTGGGGCCTTGGGGCAGCTGCAGTTTGTTAAGTTATTTTCAGATTACAAAGGGTGGGGCCTTTCATATGCAAAAGCCTCCGTGCATGGCTTGGGCGGGGTCCCAGGGGATCAACAGGGCAGGCGGAGCGAGCAGTTATGGCTGCACTCAGTCCTGCCTTCAGAGGTCCTGGCAATCGCTGTGATTGCCTCTGAGAGAAAGCTGCCCGCCCTCGAGTTCCGACCGATGCCAGACAGTCCCGTTTCTCCCATATGAGTCTGGGTCCCTAGAGACTCGCCCGGAACTGGAGCTCAGAGCCTGAGACTCCCTTCCGATTGAAAAAGACAATCGTGTCCTCAGCCGCCAGCCCTCTCTGCATGCACCTCCGCACCTTAGTATTTTACTTCCGCACCGCACCTCCTCTGAGTCTCAGTATGCTTTTCTCTTTCCTTCTAGTTGTAGAAATTCCACTCAGCCAGCCTTCCTGTGGTTCTGGATGATGTCCGTTATGTCTTTTAGTTGTATTTTTGAAGTGGTTGTGTGAGGCAGCAATCTGATGTTTACCTATGCCGCCATCTTGGTTTCTCCCCAGCTCATTTCTTTTTAATGCTGAATAATATTCTATTGTCTAGATGTAATAATTTATCCATACTGGTAACTAGTTTATTTATACTGAAGGACATCTTGGTTGCTTCCAAGTTTGGGCAGTTATTAATAAGTATAAACATGTAGGGTTTTTGAATTTTTATGAGTTTCTTTGCACCCTCATATGAAGGTTTTATGTGGACCTAAGTTTTTCAACTCGTTTGGGTAAATATCAAGGAACATGATTGCTAGGTTGTGTGTTTAGTTTGTGAGAAGCTGCCAATCTCTCAGATGGCCGTAGCATTTTTAGAATTTCCATCAGCAACGAGTGACAATTTCTGTGGCTCCACATCTCCGCCAGCGTTTGGTGTTGTCGGTGTTTTGTATTTTGACCTTTCTAATAGGTGTGTAGTGGTGTCTTGTTTTAATTTGTAGTAAGAAGGCTGTTCAGATATTTTCCCCATTTTTTGTTTGAGTTTTAAGAGCTCTTTGTATATTTTAAATAACTGTGCTTGAAAATACATTTTTCCCGGTCTGTAGCTTGTCTTTCTCATTCTCTTGACAATGTCTTTCATGGATCGTGTCTGTTACTGTATCTAAAAGTCATCATCTTACCCAAGCTCAGCTAGAGTTTCTCCTCTGTTGTCATGAGTTTTATGGTTTTGTGTTACACATGACATTGAAGTCTGTGGTCCATTTTGAGTTAATTTCTGCAGTGGGTATGAAGTCTGTCTTACTCAGTGTTTTGCACGTGGTCCCCAGTCACCACCTTATCAAGGTGGAAAAGTGTGCCGAGCCAGCTCAGCCAAGGGTTCCGCAAGCCTGACGAGAGGTGCGGGTGAAGGATGAAGAAATGACAGACAGAGAATAAGCTGGGTCTAGGTGGATCTCCTGTGCCTGGCTGAGGCCACAGAGAGAGACCCAGGCTCAAGCGGAAGCCTTTATTTTATAGCCAGAGGTAAACAAGGTAGTGGTCACCATAGTTACAGTGTTCTTGTGAGTTTCACTTGTTTTGGCAGCACTTGCTGCACCTCCCACAGTGAGGGAGGGGTGCCAGAGGAAGTGGAGAGAGGTGGCAGGTGAGAGCCACCAGCTAACATAGAACTGTTCCCAAGAGCCTGTCTGAGAAAGATTTGATTTTATTGCCAGAAAAGCTGTGTTCACCAGCCACAGTGGTTAGAAATGGCGTAGAGGAAACGGGCCGGCTGCAATCACCCAGACCGTCACGTGTCCTCGTGGAAGAGCCCCAGGGGTGTGGCGGGGAGGCCGGGACGCGGCGGTGAGTTGAGCGTTGCTGTGTTTGATTCTTCAGGCAAAGGCCACGGCGGAGCAGGCGGTAAGCCGGAGAAGACGCTGGGCGACTTTGCGGCAGAGTACGCCAAGTCCAACAGGAGCACCTGCAAGGGCTGTCTGGAGAGGATAGACAAGGTGAGGATGAGGCTCCAGTCCTGGCTCGGGGTCCCTTCCACTGGGTGTCACTGAATCTCAAAGGAAAAGAAAAATACAGGCTGTGAGTGCTCGCCCAACGCTCCTGCCTAAAAATAAAGGGAAGATCTTAACAGACGGGGGGTTACACTGACTCTTCTTCCAGTCCGGCCCGGCCCTAATTACTCCGGGTCCAGCCCCATGTCTGTAACTTCATCTACTTTTAGAAGACCAGATTTTGGGGGGAGGGGGAGTTAAAGGACTTACATGGGGGGGGGGGTCTCTTCTGAGCTTGGCAGTGGCCGAGAGAAGGCTGTGGGTCTGTGTTTTATGGTAGCATTAAGTTTAAGGAGTGAGTTTGTTCCCTGGTGCAAACCTCCAGGTTTCTTCGTCTTCATCAGAGGAACTTCATTAACCGCCCTTTCCTACCAGTTGTCCCTGAAGAAAGACAGCCGACTGGGAACGCCACCTGGACGATTCCATTTGATTAGTTTACGGTTTTTGCTCCTTGGAGTACTGTGCCAGACATTTGGAGGTGGGCAGTGGGACTTAGGAAGGAAAATCATGACATTATTAAAAGATCTCCAGCTACCTTCAGTCACTACAAATTTGAGGCAAAAGTTTAGGTTCTGAGGGGAATGTCAGAAGTTGTGTTTGATGCTTGGCCTGAAATGGAGTTCTGTGAAGTGTCAGCACCCCTCAGCTGTGTTGCCCGGGTCTGGGGCTCACGGTCATGGAACTCTCCTAGGAGTGTCAGGCCTGAAATTGTGAAGCTGGGCAGGATGGAAGGACTAGGTCAACAGAAGAAAGGGGATGGGGGGTGGGGGGGCGGGGGCAGGAATCCCCTGCTGGGACTGGAGACCTGCCTCAGACTCTTGGGCCTGGAGTGTAGCGTCCGGGTGCAGGTGGAGTCCTCGGCGCTGCCCCAGTCTACGGTACAGGAATCTCCAGTTTGGGGTGCGGTGACGAAGGAGACTTCATTCCGTGCAGACAGTCTCAGTGGTGGTGCTAGAGCACAGCTGTGACACCCAGGAGAAATGCAGTCCCCTCTTCGGGGGTCTCCTAGCCAGAGGGGAGCTGGCTTATGTGGGCAGAAATCCCCGCCCCTGGTCCCAGATGGTTCCTAGTTGTTCCATCCTCATGCAAATGAGGACTCCAGATTCTCTGATTGCTCCAGAGGCACTGTCCTGATTGGTCAAAATAGAGCCACTCTGATTGGCCAGAGCTATGCAGCTCTGGGTGGGGAAGGCCTCAGTCCTGTTGGTTGAAATAAGATTCCAGGAACTCCTTTATCAGGGCTGACTCGGGTCGTGGAAACACGGTGCAGGCCTCTCCCTGAAGGGCAGTTGGCGTGAGAGGCCCTTCTGTAGAAAGCGCTGCTGGGCTCTGTTTTGCTCTGTTTAATTTGAGCCTAGTTACCACCAGGGGCCCTTCTTAGTAGCTGTCTTTCTCAGGGTTCACAGTTACCCCGTCCTTGACTTGCCCAGGCAGAGAGATAACTAGTTGAAGTTGAGTCCGTTTAAAATGGGGGTGCAGGGGCTTGAGGGTAACACAATCACTGGTGGTATGACAGTGCCAGAACCCCAGCAGCCCGCACGTGGCCCTGAGGCGGCCTGAGGCCCTCGCTGGCTGGAGCAGGGGCTGGCTTGGTCGCCCGGTCCTGTGTCCCCCATCCTTCCTTGTCTCAGTCCCACATGTGGTTTCTCCTGTAGGGCCAGGTGCGCCTGTCCAAGAAGATGCTGGACCCGGAGAAGCCCCAGCTGGGCATGATTGACCGCTGGTACCACCCAGAGTGCTTTGTTGAGCACAGGGAGGAGCTGGGCTTCCGGCCCGAATACAGTGCGAGCCTGCTCAAGGGCTTCAGCCAGCTGGCTCCCGAGGATAAGGAAGCCCTGGAGAAGCAGCTCCCGGGAGTCAAGAGCGAAGTGTGGGTGGAGGGCCAAGGGGAGGAGGGGGTGGGGGGTTCAATGAGGGGCTTGGTGGAGGCCCAGAGATCCCACAGATGCCATACCAGTCCTGTGTGTCCCCTGGCTAACCTTGAGAAAGCCCGGATGCTGACTGAGGGGTGGCGGCGGCTCAGCGCTGCCTCTTCCCCGGCTGTGGTAGTGGAGGGCAGCAGGAAGGGCCGTAGGGTGCTCTTGGTGTCTGATCTGTGGCCCCTGCGTGACCCAGTTTCCTGTCCCCGTGGCCTCCTGTGGACATGTTCCTTTGTGTCTGGGTGTCTCTGAGAAATGGTGCTGGGAGGATCGTCACAGGTTTTTAATGAGTTGGGTGGGGAGCAGTTCCCTGGTTTAAGGTTTGGAATGGCATGGGTGTCATATGGTGCTAACATTAGGATGGGCAGACCTACCAGTGACTCTGTACTGGGTTGCCCTGAGGCTCTGGAGCAACCCCGAGATCGCTCCTTGGCAACCGAGTATGTTCTGAAGGGGATGAAGTCCATGCAAACACTCCCTGAGAGGCGGCAAGCTGGGCCTGCAGAGAAGAGTTGAGATAACAAGATACGTCATTGGATGTCTGCGTTTTCGTGGCTCTGGTTCTCTTATATTCTGCGTCTCTTTCAGAAAGAGGAAAGGTGACGAGGTTGATGGGCTAGACCAAGTGCCCAAGAAGAAACCTAAGAAAGAGAAAGACAAGCTTGAAAAGGCTCTCAAGGTGAGTTCTGAGCTGTGTCCTTGGCCATTCTGCCCAGTTCTTCCCTCGCTCTGGGAAGAAAGCTCAAGGCGGTGTGTGTGTGTCCCCCTTACCCGGACCTTTAGGAATTCCCAAGTGATAGGTGCTGTTAAAGGGCCTGGCTTCCCCCCGCCCCCCGGTGGCTTCCTTCCTTCCTCCCAAGGGAACAGTTCCTGTTTGAGGAGAACTCCCCTTGGGCTCCAGGTGCCAGACCAGCACCCAGGCTCATGCAGGAGCTGAGTCAGGCCCCAGGCACCAGCCTCACTGAGCTGGTAGAGTCCTGCTTCAGCCACACGGTACATCAAATGAAGCTATTGTTTAAAAGAAAAAGGAAGAGAAGTCAACATAGTGGAAAGAGGGCTACCCGTTGAATCAGTAGTCATTGACCAGAGATTCATCACTGTTGGTTACACATGCATTGAAGCAAAGTACAGATTATTAATCAGAAAATGCCAGCTATTTGGGGATCTAGGGGAGAACACACAGTCTCTCTCAGGAACTTGGTTTCCATGAGGCATCTGCTTGGCTCTCTTACATAAGCATTCAGTTTTTTCCAGTGGTGTGAGAATTAGAAGCAATTTCTCATCTTGTTCCAGTTGTTTGACCAGAAGGACAATGTGGTGTGGTTGCCCTTCGTAAAAAGCGTTTGCTGTGGTCCACAGCCGGCTGCAGTAGAGGGCGGTGCTGTTCGCACTGAGGAAATAGGTGGTTGGACACCCCCTCCCCCATGCACTCTCAGATTGGGGAGAGCAGCCACGCCCACCTCCCTGGCGCCGGATGTCGGGCTGACAACCCTGGGAGCTTCCAGGCTCCTTCCTGAGTCTCCGGGCGTTGGTTTCTGAGTGGCCGATTCCAGGGACCCAGGTTCCCGGACAGCAGCCCTCCCCTCGTCCCTCCGTGGTCTCCCCACCTCCCTGGTGGTGTTGAGAGGCTGTGCTCTGGGCTTACCTTGGTGTCCACAGGAGGGACTGGGCGCACACTTCCCTGTTGCTGAGACTGACATTGGGGTGCAGCTCAGTTAGGATGTGGTTGGAGACGAGCAAGGCCAATGGGGTCTCCCCTGGAGGTGGGTTTCTCTCTCTGAAGAGCTGGTCTCTCAGCGGCTGGGTCTTGTCCACAGGCCCAGAACGACCTGATCTGGAACACCAAGGATGAGCTCAAGAAGGCGTGCTCGACCAACGACCTGAAAGAGCTGCTCATCTTCAACAAGCAGCAAGTGCCCTCCGGGGAGTCGGCGGTGAGCTGCCCCTGTGTTACGTGAGCCGTGGGAGGCGGCCAGGCCGCCGTGGAGTGACTGTCCTCTCGGACGGTGGGAGGCCCTCGGTTGAACACCTGCCGGTATTAATTGGGGGAGTGACAGTCCATAGTTGTGTTGCATGGTCATCATCATCATCATCATCATCGGGGTCACCATTTCCCAGGGGCAGGAAGGGGCGGGCTCTCCCAGGCCCTTCCAGGCGTCTTCCCCAAGGCAGCCCTTGGTTTAGGATTTTGGTGAGGACTGACATGGGCCTCTGTTTGCCTTGTATATTCACGCCACACTGGCCTGAGGAGCTCTCTGCTGCCTTCTGCCCGAACTGCCCGGGCTGTGAGGCCTGTGGAGGGAGCAGGACCACCTCGTGAGACCAGCCTCCCCAGCAGGCCTGCCCTGCCGTCTCTGGGGAGAGGGTGGCACTGTTCTGTGCAGAAGCAGTGGGTGCTCTGGCTCTCCCTTTACCTCTAAATCCCCGAGGGCAGTGGGAACTGCAGGAACATGCGTGGACTTAAAAGTACAAAAATCTAAGCTCCACCTGTCAACCAGCCGGCCAGCGGGTGGGCAGTTCGCGAGCCGGGGGGCCAGCCCTCTTCTGTGTTGGTGAGAGCAGTTTGTGCAGATTCTTCATCCCACGTGGCTAACGTCACTCTGTAGCCCCTCCTTCGTCTCTGACACGCGTCTCCACTGGCAGATCCTGGACCGCGTGGCTGACGGCATTGTGTTCGGTGCCCTCCTGCCCTGCGAGGAGTGCTCGGGCCAGCTGGTCTTCAAGAGTGACGCCTACTACTGCACGGGGGACATCACTGCCTGGACCAAGTGTATGGTCAGGACCCAGACGCCCAGCCGGAAGGAGTGGGTGACTCCAAAGGTAAGTGGGGGATCCTGGGGTCTGTCGCCAGAAAAACATGGTCCCCTTACTCCAAGCTGCCACGCCGGCAGGGCAGCATTCTTACAGCTGATCCATCCTCATAGTTAGAATATAAAATTCTATTATTGGCTCCATAGTTTAAAAACTTCACAAATGTAGAACCACAGCACTTTGTGCTGGAGTGCAGGTTTGTCCAATCGGAGTAAAGTCCTCCTGCTGGCAAAGACTGTGATCATTTCTGTTCCTGCTCAGCAAGTGCTTACCGGTGCCAGGCACTGTTCTAAGCTCAGGGGACAGATGGTGAGTAAGTGGATCATTCCTGCCTCTGTTAGGAGAGTTTTTCTTAAGAATATTTATTTACTCTTATGCTGAAGGGAGAACTGGTCCCAGGGTTCAATTATCTTCTATTTTGACCTCTTATAATGGAACTACATGTTGAATTCTCAGGTGCGAAATCTCAATTGGGAACCTCATTTGGAATTGTGGGCGGGGTGGGGGTGTTGACAGTGTCTTTGGGGGCTTGGCTGCTGGAAGGGCTCCACCTGTGTCCTCAAACTCCGCTTGAGCTGGACCCAGCTGCCTGGGGCAGAGGTGGGACCGCCACTAACTAGGATTTGGGGTTTGATCATCCAGTTGTCTCTCCCTGTGCGTACTTCCGGGGGGCGAGCATTGGAATGGCGCTCTGTAGGAAGCACTTGGTCGTTGGGACTTAAGTGCCCCATTGGCACTGCTAACCCAGCCCTCCTGCCCGGCTCATTCGTTTCCTGCCTCCTCTGCCCATTGCCATAATTTACTCCCTCTCAGTCCTTTCTCTGTACGTTTTCTGGAGTGATCACTCAGCAAATTTGGCCTTGTTGCTTCCCACGCCCTTAATATCTTATAGTGATTCCTCAGTTCCTATAGAAATACTAGTATTTTCAGTTGTTCTGATGTGCAGGTGTAATAGGCCCTTTTATGTTATTTGTATTCCTTCTATCTTTAAGAAAATAATAAAGTAAATAATGTGAACTATTTTGTGCTTTATGTATCAACCAGAGGCCTTGGTGCATGGATTTGTGCACTTTGAAAGTAAATTAATTAGAAGGTGGCCAGCGGGGCGGGTGTGGGCGAGACTGGCCAGACACACCCTGGAGCCGACCTCCTGTGGTCCCTCCCTGGCCAGCTTGTAGGGCATCTGTAGAGTGTGTGTGTGTGTGTGGGGGGGGGGGGGGGGGTTCCCTTGGACTGGCCTGTGGGGATAAGCCGAAAACGGCAGTCTGAGGGGCCCCAGAGTGCGAGAGGGCACTCTGCAAAGTTGCTGTGGCTCAGCAGCTCCTGCATTGAGCATCTGCCCCCCGCTGGGCATTTCCCCTCCAAGCTACCGGTTGGACGGTTGCTTAAATTTCCCCGCAAAAATATACATTTGAAAATTTACTTTTTTCCCCAAGCTAAGTTTTTTTGTTTTTTTTGAGAAAAGAGAAGGGAAGAAGGGAAAAATCCATCAATTTTCTCCTACTTAATGCCCCGACTGGGAAACAAGCCCCCAACCTTTTAAAGGAATGGAAAAGACTCCCTCCAAGGCCCCCAGGCAGGACTAGCATCTACCTTTTTTTTTAAAGAAGGTTTTTTAAAAGGTATCTGCCGCCCCGGGCAATGTGGGTCAAATGGGTTAGGAACACCCCTGTGTACACAAAAAACTCTCTTTTTTTTTAACTTTTCCCCAAACAAGGAGGAAAATTACCCCCCGGGGTCCCCGCAAACCCCAAAAAATCAGGCGGGGGCCCTTTTTTTTTTAAAAAATTATTT